TCTATTATTTTGGTTTTGAAAGATTTAAGTGTCACTTGAGGATAAGTAACATTTTAAATTTGGGGAATTTTGAAAAACCTAAAATATATAGTCTTTATGTACACATTTTTATACTTATTTTTGAGTTATTACGCTTTAATGGAAGATTTTTCTGTGTTTTTATTTCAGGTACAATAAAATGGATGAAACATGGTGAAAGGAGTGAAAAATGATCAAGTTTGGAGAAAAAAAATGTGTGCAAAAGAACTGTGGCGCCTAAGCTCCCAGAACTGGCGCTTACGCTCCAGTAACACCGAGAAGTCCACGCCTAAGCGCCAAGTACTTCGTACTTAAGCGCCAGAAGTAATTACTTGATGATTCAAGGAATTTGAATGAAATTTTGAAGAGGTGTTTGAAGCAACTCTTGGTGAAAAGTGGGAAATATTAAATGTACTCAAAAATACATTCAATTGGCTTTTTGAGAGGAGGCAAGTTTTGGAAGATTCATTGATGTGGACACATTTTGAAGAGACACGTAGGCAACTTTTAAAAAATTATAAAAGAAGGACTTGGATTGAATTGAAGAAAAGCCATTGCTCCGCTCTAGACACCGCCGATGCCTCTCTCTTAGATTAATTATAATACTTTTAGAGAGAAGAAGGAGAGGAGTTGTGGTGAGTGATTAGAGAGTATTGTAAGAGAAAGGAAGGGAAGAGATTCAAAGGAACTTCAAGAGTTTGGTGGAGAGGATTTGAGATAAGTTTTTATCTTTATGACTACATTTATTTTAATTTAGACTTCTTGTTTGTTTGCATGATTTCTACTTTCAAACTTAAGTGCGATTGTGTTTTCTCCACGAATTCTGAGTAGTTTTCTTTATCTTTTTCCTTAAAATGATAAGTGATTAAGTGTTGAATGGAAGTTTTGTTCAGTAATAATCTTTAATGTTGGAATAAGTTGTGATGATTTTAAACATTGTACTTCATTTACTTCTTGATTTGACCAATTAAAATGTTAATATATGTTGTGATAACATGTACGATTAATCTGAGATGGTATTGTCTCAGTCAACAAATGGTAACAATCACATGAGATTGTATGAATGAGAATGTAATTCATATGATTGAGTACAAATAAATAGGGAAATAAACTTTGAAGAATGTAGAATTAGAGGAATTTAGAATGACGAGCTAAAACCCCCAATTTGATTTTTAGTTTTAGGTTTTGATACAAGATGTTAGCCCCCAAGTGGAACAAAAAGAGGGAACTCTAGAGTGAGAGTTAGTATCTTCACTATCTAACCCGTCTTCAAGACTATTCAAATTTTAAATTAGCCAATGTTCTTTATAGCATCTCTAGTAACTAGTAAGGGTAAATAATACAGTAAGGGTAAATAATACTATTGCTCATATTTGACACAATATAATTTGAATACTTTCACAGTAGAATTCTTATACTTGTTACTGATTCATGATAAGGAAAAAGATATTTTATTTATATTACTTTCATCTTTACAAATATCTAGTTGAGTTTAGTTAGTTGTTTACTTTACTTTCAATTATCAAAAACTAAAAAAAATCAAATTTGCATTCCTATTATAACATCTAAAGTTTGAGTAAGAATATTTTGTTAAGTAGAATTTATTATCTAATTTCTTCTGATTGTTAGTTGCATATTGTATTTTTTCTCTGTGGGCTCAATATTCGGGGCTTGATAAAAAAATCATATATTACTTGATAACGATACGTATATTAGCGTAGTATCACATATTTAAATATAATAATTGCATTCTTATTTGCTTTGAAGTCAAGTTTTTGCCTAGCTGTTGCTAGTGATCAAGTTTTCGGCATTGGTGCAAAGTAAGAATTATAAGTAAGGAAAAATTAAGAATATAAACACATACATCGCATTGACATATAAAATTGGGATCAATCTCCTCCCTCTCAATTGATGACAACTGACCCCAAATGCAAGGTTTTAGGAATTAAATAGGAAAAAATTGTGAAAAAACTACAAAAGAAAGTTTCAAGGAGGTTTTCAAACTATGGCGCATAGGCACCAAATATGAGCACTTGGGTGTTAGACTTTTTGTAATCTTGCGCTTAGGTGGCAGTTTTAAAGGCATAGGCGACAATGCACAAATTTACACCGCCTCACCTAAGGTCAAAACAATACTCATAACCTCATTTGGATAATTAATTATAGTGTTATATGCTTCTTCTTAACATGTAAGTCTCCATAACACATAAAATTTACCCAAAACACTTAAATTAAACAAAAGCAAACTTAAATCAACTAGAAAATAACTATGGGTCGTCTCCCACAAAACGCTTGGTTTAACGTCGTCAGCCCGATGTATTCATTCTTTATTCTGGTTGAGCCAACATTAACACTTCATTAAAGACAGGCCTGTATCCATCAAAGTAAGGTTTCAGTCTATGTTCATTCACTTTAAATATTTTGTTAGTTTTTGGATCTTTAATATCCATAACACCATATGGGTAGACTTTCATCACAATAAATGACCCCATCCACCTAGATTAACGTTTTCCCAAAAATAATTTCAATCTTGTACTATACAATAAAACTTCTTGTCCAGGTTCAAAATCTTTTTTTAATATCTTCTGATAATGTCAATTTTTCATTTTTTCTCTATAAATCTTAGCATTTTCATAAGATTCAGTTATAATCTATTCGAGCTCATTTAATTGCAATAATCTTTTCTCATCAATATCTTTCGAATTAAAATTAAATTCCTTAATAACTTAATAAGCTTTATGTACCAGTTCCACTGGTAAGTGACAAAGCTCTTTAAAAAATTAGTCTATATGGGGGCATTCCTATAAGAGTTTTGTATGTAGTCTTATAGGCCCATAATGTAGTATCCAATCTAGGAGATTAGTTCATTCTATTATGATTTACAGTCTTTTCCAAGATTCTCTTAATTTCACGGTTGGATAATCTGCTAGACCACTGGTTTGAGGATAATAAATAGTGGCAATCCAATGTTCAATACTATATTTTTCAACTAATGTTTCAATTCTCTTATTCTTAAAATGACTTCCCTATTCATAATGATCACTTTTAATATTCCAAATCTGGTAAAATATTCCTCTTTAAGAATTTTGAAACACTATGAGCATCATAGTGGGGTAAAACAACTACTTTAATCCATTTTGAAACATAGTCCATTGTGATTAAAATAAATAAGTTTCCAAAAAATGGTATAAATGGTCTCATAAAATCCAAACCCCGTACATAAAAAATTTCAACTTCCAATGTAAAATTTAAGGGCATTTCATTCATTCTCGAAATATAGCCTACACGCTGACATCAATCACATGTTGTTACATAAGTATTAATATCTCTAAATATAGTAGGTCAATAAAATCTAGATTATAAAATATTGTATGTAGTTCTTCAACTCTAAAAATGTCCCCAAAAATAAAAATCAAGACATTTTTGAATAATTTTTTGGGTCTCTTCATAAGGCATACATCTCCGAATAACTTGATCCTTACATTGCTTATATAAATACATGTCATCCGAAAAGTAAAACTTTGCATCGTGTACAAATTTTTTCTGGTATTGTTATATCAATTCATAGGGTATAAGATCACTAATGATGAAATTAACTATGTCGGCATACCACGACACACGCCACTCAGTAACAGTGTATAATTTCTCATCAGGAATTCACTAATTTCTTTTTCAAGATTGAATGTATTTTCCCGCTCCATCATAAATAAATGATCAACTATTTGATTATCAGATCCCTTCCTATCTACTACTTCAAAATCAAATTCTTGCATCAGAAAGATCTATCTAATCAATCTTACATTTGGGTCCTTCTTTGCGTCAAATATTATAACAGAGTGATCTGTATGCACAATACATTTAACTCCAATGAGATATGACCTGAATTTATCAAATGCATATACTATTGCTAATAACTCATTTTCAGTAGTGATATTTCATTTTATTAGCACTTTGTTGGCTTTCCAACTTCAAGGTCATCACTCCGGCTATCATTTGCCGCATCTTCTTTTATTCTTTTCAATATTTCAAAAATAAGTTTTGGAGAGGTTTCTCTTGTTAAAGAATAAACCTAAACCTTAATATTTAATAATTTTCTTGCTCGTACATCGCCAACTCGTCAAATAAAGCGTGTTTTTTTTTCTGGTTGGGCAGGACTCCATCGTCCTAAAATTGAATATGTGATGTATATAAAAAAATACTTATATGCGAGTCTCAAATAACATCAATCACTTATTATATTATGAGAGTCCACACACACACTTATTCACACACACTCACACACACACATTCAAACTTTGAACATAATATTGTTTCACATTAAAAAAAAAACAAAGGCCTAGGGTCTGTTTAGGACAACTTTCTGTCTATTTTGTGTTTCAGACCACAATCACAGTTCTGTTTAGAGAATTGCTTTCTTACTTCTTTTTATAGAAAAATTATTTTTTTCAACTAAATTGTTAAAGTTTGGTGGCTATCAGAAAACTGTAGTCTCACTTAAGGATGTAAGTGAGTCAAGCTAACTCATGAGCCAACTCGAGTCTATTTGATAATTGGCCTTGATGAGCTAACAAGCCAAGCCCATCTAGCGCCGACTCGACTGGTTAGGTCGTGTGCCGACTTATTTTGAAAAGTAATAATACAAATTTTACTCAAAATATATTAAATTTGAATACTTTATTTTTTAAAGTATTATAAATATTTTAAAAATAATATTTTATATTTTTTATTGAGTGTTTTTTATTATTATAACACTGTATTATATTAATGTTATATTCCAACCAACTCGAACTCATAAAATGAAGCTTGAGCTTGAACTCAAACTCGAACTCGATAAAATTAATCAAGCTCAAGCTCAAGCTCAAGCCGAGGGTGGCTCGAGCTCGATTACACTAGTTACAATTCTAAAACTCTCATTTTTTAAAAGTAAAATAAATTTATATTAGTTATGATAAGTTTTTGAAAAATGATTTCTCCCATATTTTCTGAGGTGCAGCTGCTCGAATGCACCTTGGTCGTCTTTCTCCATATATATGTATACCGCTGCTCTCAAATCTTTGAACAGAGTCTCTACCGGGAAACCGGAGCACGAGTGCAGCTGTTTCTTATATCTTTATGGAGCAATGAGGGGAGAGTGGTCCGTCCGTCGACCTTGTAATGGGCCGATTCAGCGCGCTAGGGTTTCTGCCCAGGTCCCTTTTGCTGCAGGCTGTAAGGGTCCTAACCGCATCTCGTCACGAGTTGCTTTCAGAAAAGTTCTTTTTTGTATCTTCCTTCTATTTGTTTTTATCTTGAGATCGTCTCTTGCAGGCATCAGGACAACTTGTACCTCATGCCACTAGGTTGTCTCAGGGACATGCAACGGAAAGAAGAGATGGATTCTTACCGTTTCTGAAATTACTTTCTAACAGCTCTACATGTAATTCCCAACTGAACAAAAAGTTCTTCATCGTTCATGCTTTTATTTGATTTTCTATATTTGTTGAATACCGTATATGTAATTTATATAACTCAATGTTCTGATTTATGTTTTAAAGCTTAGAGTTTATGCTGATAACTTTTGTTTTGGGTATCTATCTCCATCATTCAAATGTTGCTCATCTTTAAAACTAACTTTCTCAATGCTAATTCAATTTATTTTTTTATTATGAAATGTGGTTCTAGTTACTGACCAGATTCGTTTCTACGACAAGCTGTTTCATAAACCTTACTACTTGATCATGCATTCATACTCATATAATGTTGTAGCAATTGTTTTAAGAAACAGCCACGCTAATGTGGAAACTTCTGTTATGTGGACTTCTTTATTAAAGATGCTCAGCACTTATTAACTAAAGTGTGAAGATTGTCAGTGTTAGGAGATCTGTATGATAGCTTTGATGGATTGGATTGTTTGTCCATTTGAAGGGTCTTTTCAGCCTATGGATCTTTGTTTCTCAAGTTATCTTGAACACGCACACAAATTTAATCAATGCTCTTAATGGCTGATGTATATTTTTCATGAATGCTATGGTTATCCTACATAGCTATGCTTAATAAAACTAAGTCCTTTTGAAACTTAAATTTTTTTGATAGGTTACAGACAAAGAAAATAGTATTCCAGACTCATTTAACTCGAACCATTTCACTTTAAGCATGATATAAGTGCATCCCACTTGGACTATTTGCTGATTGTTTTGTCTCGAATCATAAGTTCTCGAGTTCAAGACCTAGCACATACTATTGCACGTGTGAGTTAAAAAAAATAAATTGATAAATAAATAAATAAACTTGAAGCATGATATAAGGATAAAATATTAGAATCAAATGTTCTTTTTTTGTTTGCTTAATAAGTGGATTGATTGTTTTCATTCTAGAACATGTGGCTCAATATTTAGTTTATTTTAATTTTTTCTATGGTCTTATTTTCATGCTCATCTGACATTCGGCCGTGAAATCAAACTTCATTCAATTAAATCCTTTTCTTGTTGCTATCGTGGACAATCTCTTGCTATTAGAATACATGAGCCTTAATTCCTTACAACATTATGATTGTTGATTTTATTGTAGCGATAGTTTGATTTATGGATTTTTATTTTAGTTTCTTTGTAAACATGTTGATGATGTTTCCTATGAGATTGGGTTTATTATCTAGATTTTCAAAAAACACTATTCTAGTTATCTTATTTTTTTGGCTATAATAATTGCTTTATTTTTTGTGGTTGGGCTTGTCTTTAGTAATGACATAAGATGTAATTAAGGAAGGCCTTTGTTTGGCTTGGTTGTCAGTTGGCTCTTTAGATTTTGTGGATCTTGATGGAAGTTTTCTATTACTTAGTTCTCAATAGTTCTTTGGGCAATGAATTGTGTTGTGAATTTTTGTTATTTGTTGGGCCATGGAGTATTGGAATTTTCTTCAGATACGACCTGTGGATATTTCAACTATCCTCTGACTTGTCCTTTCTTGTTGTTACTCTTTTATCTCGATGGATAATAAATAAAATTGCTCTTTTAGCAATAATCCATAGATTTGATCAGATCATATGCTGGGATTTTATGAGATTAATGGTTCTAAAAATTGATAATCGAGGCATGTTAAAAGTACAAGTCCATTAATAATAAGATATTTGGGTTTTCTATTTTTACTTAGTGCTTGAACACCAGTGAATGTGGATCTTTTTAGCATGGTGTAAGCGGTGGCTATCTATTGGAGAAGCTGCCTTATTGTTTCAAAATGAGGAATTGATTTTAAGTTGGTGAATTTATTTTCTTGTTTTTTTCGTAAAGTTAGTAGTTCATTTGTTTGTGCGATTGAATTTGATCTAAACCCATTCAATTTGGATTCTTGATCATTTTGTGATTTTCAATTGTCATATTGCTTTCATTCATTCTGAATTTTCTTTACTAAATGTTTATTTAGATGATCATTAAATTATCTTTTGGGCTGACTTATGCCTGTTTTTTTGGCTTCATTGTATGGAATGATTGTGTTTTAGTTGATAGTATATGACTTGTCAATTTGATTGATTATTTTACATCATGACTTGCATTAGGAAATACCCTGAGATGTCCTATAGTGGATTTTGTATTGGAGTTTAGAGTTGCATAATCATGTAAACTAGAAGTTGGACATAAATACTTTGGCTAATTAATACAAAATCAACATTATGTAATTTAAATGCTATCGGATTAGCTATAGTTCTAGGTAATTGGAAAATGGCTTACATGAGGTTAAAATTATATTCTTATATTCGATAGAAAATGTAATCTTAAGGAAATTTTAAATTGGAATGAAATGTTATCACATGTGTGATTCCCAATGAAATGACTTTACTAAAGTAAAATTAGCGGGGCATGGATAATATTATTAGTTAAGTTTTCCGACTAACTTTATTTGAGTTGGTACGAGACATCAATTTAAAGAACAATATTTTATGGGGAGGTGTTTAAAAGGTTTCTAGGTTTGTTGGAGTGGTTTGTGAGGTGAAGGAAGGTAGTGACTAGTTTGGCGGTTTTGGGATAGGTTTTTGGCTGGAGTTATATGGCAGTCAATGGCTTGTTTCTCATATGTGAAAAGTTATAAGTGACTCCATCTCTAAATTCTAAAACATTAGTTAATTAGTGTCGGTGATTATTTATTCAATTGGATATATGATTAAAATGTTATGAATTTTCTTTGTGGGCTAGATTTAGGTGAAAAGCAGCCTTTTTGATTTGATGAGGGAGATATGGCTGAATTTTTGACGTGATTGAACGAGTATGAATTTTTGGAAAGATTGTGGGGATGGTTGAAGTCTAATATTATCAATATTGTATTTTCAATTTTGTTTCATGACACTCTGCTTCCATAGATGTGTATCCAAAAATACATGATTTTTGGTTGGAGTGCTTCAAATAGAAAACTTTCTTTTGGAAGCTATTCAATCACATAATTGAGAACTAATAATTGTAATCAAAGATTTATGGAATTTCTCATTATTAATGTAGTTTGCAACACTTATCAAAAAAAAAAAAAAAGAAAGATTCCTGAGTTATCGACCACTATAGCTTTTTGGAGGGTATTTTTGGATGTATATTTCCTTCTTTTTCACGGTGCTTTATTTTTTTATTTATACTCATAGTTTAATGAAAAAAATAGCTATGATATTTTGAAAGTAGAGTGGCTAGTATTATTTAGAGACCATTTTATTATTTTAAAGGACAATGAATCTTTGATTGGAGATTGATTTTGAATGCCTTAGAATCTTTGAATCTAGCCAATTGATAATAATTGCCAATCACATAAGATTGTAATTGAATGCATTAAATTTAAGTATAGAAGACATCTTTTTGGTTGCCATTGGGACTTGGTTTGTTAAGGACATTTTTTTAGAGCCTTTTGTTGTTTGGCTATTATATTTCTCTTTGAACCATGAGTTGGGTTTGGACCTCAAATATATCTCTTGACTCGATTTGATCAAATTCATTGAAAATGACTAGTGAATGGTCTATTTTTTCGTGAAATTGGGTCAAAACACATCATATATTTTATAAATACCTAATTGTGATTCATTTTACAAAAATGGATTGCACTAATGCATCCGAAGTATCAAATTAACTAGAAAAGTCACCCATATTGCCCATATTGTTGAATGACTTCAGTTAAGAAAAATATCTACACGTAAGGTGATGAGATAAAATTTGTAAGGTGATGAGATAAAATTTGGCATGTATAATGATGATAAATTGCACGAGGAAATTATTACACTAAATTTATTCTATTTAAAAAATTCAATTTATTTTATTAGAAAAAGATCAATCACAAAATCCCATAAAATTCTCTGCAGCGCTACCCATACCCTAGAAATTCATTTATGGCATCTGTTACCGTTATGTTTTTATGTTTGGTTCCTGTTTTATCAGATAAATAAAAAAAAAAAAACCCAATAACCTATTCTTCCATTTGTGACATTAATTCTAACCTCATTTGCATTTTCTTTTGTTGGCTCATTGACCTCTCCCTTAACATCACATGATTGTGTTGCTTGCAAGCCTCAACTCTTGCAAGCCCAACCCGCTCCTTCCTTGATGGCTTGCTCATGCCTTATTGAAACTTTGAATTAAAACCTCCACCCTGAGGCGCACCCATAATTAAACCTCATTCTCAGTTCACCACTCCATGTGCTAATGAAAGCCAACTTTATTGCTGGCCATGACACTCTCTTTGCTCCAAGTTTGATGAATAGCAATTCCTTACATCTTTGTTCATAACCATGCCAACCCATCACCAAAGCATCTCTTCTCTATGATCGAGTCATCATCATTGCTGATTTGTGCAACAAGTAACCGAAGTCAATTTTAGGAGATGATATTCTGATTGGTGAAGCATCTTTGGTTTTGGTTTTATGAATAATTTTCTTGATAAGGGGCATAAGCTTCCAGTGAACCTTTAGGCGTGTCACAAAGAGAGAGCCTGATCAGAGGAAACTCAATCGATCTAAAATACTGCTTTAAAATTATGAGTCAACTATAGAATTCAAATCTACATAATCTTATGTTGCATTAAGAAATCTCTCCATGCTATGGTCATATTAGAATGCGATTCAAGATCTTCTCTTCTTCTATTAATTTAATCAGAAGTTGGATACTTGTGTTTATAAGCAAGATTTCAAGTGCCCTTCCATGCCATATTCATGAAGGAATGAATTTGTGTCATATGTCCTTACTAGAGTATCTTTGAGACAAGCAATTTTCCTACAAACTGGCATGATCCAAAGGTATTGCCTTTGATTTCTAACTCGGTCCAGATCAATGAGGTCAAAATCTTTGGGTAGTATCTTATTTAAATCAAATCATCTTTAAAAGCTTTATTTGGATCCACTCTCTTAGAAAAGCTAGGTGTGAATTTTTAGGGCTCATAAGGTTGTCTTTTTAATGTTTACTGGGCTGTAGTGTTGAATTTACTTGAGATTCAGTTAGTTTAGTGGCTTTCCTATTACTCTACCATGACTTGTAGATTCTCCAGTAATCCCTCAACTTTTGTGCTTTCGGGACTTGCTATTTTCCTCATGAATAAATAATTATTATGGCTTTTTTGTGATAGTTGTCCATGGATTTTAGCTAATTCTATTTTGGAAATTTGAGGAGATTTGTGGTTATAAATAAGCATATGAGGCATGCTAAAATGAAGCCCATTAATAATAATTACTTCAAATTTTTTGTTTTCTCTCTCCTTTTTTTTGAATGATAGTCATGATGAATTTTCTTGTACTGCACAGTTAATGCTATAAAATCTTTGAGAAAATTATCTTGTAGTAATTTCCATGGAAATTTTTAAATTTTTTTATATGATTTAGTAATTGGTTTACTTCTGTAATTTGATTTGGTATGATTTTCTTTTTGTTGTACTGTTTTAGTTTAAATTGAATTTTCTATGCTAAATTTCTATTTGGATGGTTATTATATACTATCATTTGGGTTGTATTTTTCTGATTTTTCAGAAAAAAAGGCTGATTGTGTATTTTAGCTGATGTTTTGTGAACTTTGAACATGACTTTGTATGTGTGATTTTTGTGCATTACACATATAGATGCACTGTGAAACTCTAGATTCTTAGACATCTTGCATTAGGTCTTAGATTGAATATTTTTATTGCCTAATCATCCATGAAATGTCTTGTCGTTGCTGCTGTTTATTTTGTGATGAATTCGGTTCCGATGTATATCATTCAGGCTTAAGGCTAATGTCAAATTGGCTTACATTAAAAGCAGAATGGCAAACTTGACAAAGGAAGCCTATGGCTGTATTAGGTGCAAAATGACTCATGATATGATTGGAATTCTGGCCTTCTTTTTCATTTTATTTGATATACTAGCCTTTTGCTGATAATTTTTTTTTGAGAAAAATAACCACCTTATACAAGTAAATAACGCAACTAATATATGATCAATTACAAGAAAGAGCTTAGCATTGCAATCAAGATTTTATAAATCCAGTTATATATTATAAGCTCATCTTAGACAAATTGCCTTCTTTGTAATCACCATTTTCTAGTATTTGCCTTTCTTGACACTTGGTGCTTCTGTCAGCATTAAATGGACGTGCTCAGTTTCTTAGAGGACCTGATGTCTTTTTTAAAGCTGCCAAAACATTTCCAATCAGATCCTTTCATTTCACAGGTACAGTAATATTTGCAAATTAGTCTATGTATTGGTATTGTTTTTCTTGCTTTTCTAGATAATATTGTGCCAGAAGTAGATGTTGAATGTATTATATCACAGGATCTAGTAATGCTATGGAACGAGACTACTATGAAATTCTCGGCGTCTCGAATAATGCTTCACCAGAGGACATCAAGAAAGCATTCCACAATGCACGTTTCCCTCATTTCCTTATTTGCTATTATTTTTGCTTTTTATTTTCTTTTGACTGCTTTTAACGGAGTATATCGATTTGTAAAGATCTTCACACATTTTTTGATATATTTGTTTTCTCTTGGCTTCTTGCTTATATCCATTTAGGAGATGAATTAATTTTGTTTTATTTAATTCATTTTTAATGTACTCATGTCAAGTTATTCTTGCGTCTGTTGGGCGCTTCAATAACTTGCTCATGTTTTAGCATTGTTACAAATGCCATTCTTTGGTTACATGGTTTTCTCCCTTTTATGCTCTGCATGTATGATTCTCCTGTTTTGAGTTGCATTCTAAGAGGCGCTATGTCTCTTTAATTATCATGAGCTGTGACGAGTTTCACCAGTTGAAATTATCATCAGAAATAGGAACATCGTAAAACTCTATATATTAAAATCTTTTTCTGCTTGTATGATTATCCTGTTTGGAGTTGCATCCTAAGAGGAACATCAAATAAAATTCTATATTTATATTTCTTTTTAATTATCATTCAATGTGAGGGGGTTCAAGAGATAAAACTGTCGGTGGAAGTAGCACATACAGCAGTGTTAGCTATCTAACTATTTTGAGTTGGCTTTTTTCGAATCTGCTTCTACATTCAGTTATTTTTATAGCCTGTATTTGTTGTTAATTTGTTGTCAGATCTTTGCAACAATATCCAACTAATTAGCTTTGGCCCATCCCTTTTATTCCTTAATATTTGAGTTTTGAACTTATTATTGCCTTCTCTTCTCTGATGCAACGCCTGTCTAATGCTGTTGATTTTTATTTTTCATTATGTTATTTTTATAAAATTGCTATTGCCATGCTTTCTTTAATGCAGTCCTTGTCAGTCTATCCTTTGCAGCAGTCATAGCACTCATAAATGTAATTCTCATTTTCAGATCTTGAAACGTGGCCTGCTAATGAACATTCAGTGCTCGTATATAAAACAGAATATTAAAATTTTGTTTATGTTTTGGCCCACCAATGTCTGTTAATTACTTACATAATCAAGTTAATCAGGGTAGCAAAAAACTTGAAGTACAATCTTAGTGCTTTACTAGTAACAGAATGTGATTATTGCAGATTAAAATAAATCAAGCTGTTTGTAACTCTAGTTATTTCACCGCACCACTTAACCTCTTCTCTACCCTGTTTCCAGAAAGAATATTTACTTACCTTTTCCGTCCCACTTTTCAATCAAAGCTTCTCTTGTTGTTGATCTCTACATTCCCACCTTTACTAGCAGTTTCTTCTTAGTCATAGTATTTGGCATGAGAGTCTAGGTGTGTAAGGGAATCAAAACCATTGGTAGACAAACATCATAACACTTGTAGCTGTAACTATCATCACTTGAATGGACGCGCATAATTGTAAGCCAAGGTTTAACATTATTGTCCTCTCTTTAGTTCATGATTTTCTTATTTCTCTTTAACATGACATACTGTACCAATAATTTATTACCAAGTAAGCCAAGGTTGAACATTATTATCCTCTCTTTAGTTCATGATTTTCTTATTTCTCTTTAACATGACATACTGTACCAATAATTTATTACCAAGTAAGTCAAGGTTGAACATTATTATCCTCTCTTTAGTTCATGATTTTCTTATTTCTCTTTAACAAGTAGTTTGTTTATGATAGGATGTCATACTGTACCAGTAATTTATTATCTTATTGTTGACCTCATTTTTAGTGAAAGATATTGTGGACCTCGCTTTCGGTCGAGGTACAGTTTTCCCTTCCTTAGTAGCCTAGGATCTAGCCGTAGAACCTTTCTGTCGACTACTCCTAGAAAACTAGTGAAGGAGCCCTCCCCGTTAGCAATTCTGGACTTTTCTTCGCTCGACTTGACGTTTTATTTAGTAGTTTTGACCGCTATTGCTTGGCAGGTAAGGCTACTCTTAAGGAACTCAGGGAGCATTCCTATAGGACTGCCGACCTTAGGATTGATTTTACTCGTTGATTTGGTGCCGCTGCGCTCTTCGCCGTCCTGTTTAATCGAATTCGAGCCGAGTTTTTGACGTGATTCAGTTCGCAACACGTTTTTGACCCGATCCACGATGACGTCGTCCGAGCGACCCCGGATGACGAAACGAACTACGCCAACACGTCCGGAACGTCAATTTTGCCTAGGGAGGACACCTATTTTGTCGCATCGTCGTGCGCGGGTAAAATGTGTTTTAATTAATATATATATATATATATATATTTATATGTATATATATATTTATATATATGTGTTAGGTTA